AGCATATAATGGTTTAATTTTATTGGCATCTAATATGCAGCACACCACATGTAAGAGCCTATAAAAAAAGTTTAAACTAAAGAAGACACTATTTTACATCTAAGACTATGAAGATTTTTAAAAACAAATCTGGTCTTGAAGTAAAAACTACCTCAGATGAACAAATGCAGACAAAAAGCTAAACTCAGCAGGCCTCCACCACAGGTGCTGACAGTATGTTTGTGTGGATGTACAGTGGCTGACAGAAATGCACAAACGGCTAAACGCCTTGCAAACACATGAATTATGCAAACTACAAAATACTGCAAAAGAAAAATGCAGCAATCGCAAAAAAAAAAAAGAAGAAAAATAGACAGAAGCAAAAACAAACAACAAAATAAATTATGCAAAGGAAAAAATACAGCAAACACAAAAACAACTAAGTAAGAAACACTGGAAAAACCTTACTCCACAAACTGGAAGTGCACCAGATCACTAGGGACACAACCACAAAGTCATAACAGACCAGAGCATCGGTTAAAAACATTAGGGAGGAAACTGTTCCATTTTTCCAACTTTCTTCTGCATCCTGTCATTACAGTCTGGTCCAATGACTTGGTGGTCAAGTCCCCCTTGTGGTTTTGAGCACTTCTGTTTTGTGGAGCAAGTTTGCAGCATTTTCTTATTTGCAGTCTTTTTGTATTTGAAGCATTTTTCCTTTGCATGTGTGTTATTTGTATAGTTTTGCTTAGTTTTTGTGACTGCATCATTTTCCTGGGTTGGTGTATTTCGTATCATTCATGTGTTTGTTGTACGTTTGCACCTGTCGGCCATTGCAGTTTTTCCAAACACAAGCAGTTGCTTCTTTTAACGTCACTGTTGATGCCTTTCCTTCTTGGCACCATGTGAACACACACCTACTGTATATAGAGGTGGTCCCACTGATGATYATCAGTTAATCAATGCATTTGATCAGAAACACCGTTAGTGATCTCCTATTTTCTGTGGCAGCAGCATTGAACTTGGTTTTTCACACATTTCTGCCTTCTAACCTTTTCATTAAAAAACAAAAACTACAATCGGTTAGGAGTGTAAGAAAATATCGATACACTGAAATAACGTGATATTTAATTTCCCGATACCGTATCGATATTCTAAAGCCCTGTATCGATTTTTTATTAAGGTTTAAAATGNGTTTAGAAGAGGAAGTGATGAGAAGATAAGTTTATTTTCTATTTAAACATAAAAACAGCATTTTAATAACAGCTAAAGGTGACATAGATACTTTATTATGGTATAGTATTTAAATATATGCCTGAGAAACACATAATATTGCCCCTTTAAATTATTTTAGGGGGTGCTGTGGAAGAATTAGGCCACGCCCCCACAAAATTGGACTGCATTTCTGTAGCGGGGTGGATTAGGATTGACCATACTGAATTTGGTGCAGATTGGCTGAAATATTTGTAATTTAGAGCCAAATGTACGTCAACGGCGTGATGTCAGACTTCACCGCACCGCCATGACCAAGCCTTACACAGGAAAGTCTTTGTGCTTGAAAACAAGTGAGATCAACTTTTACCCGTGTTCTGACCCAATTTGTTGCTGATTGGGTCAAGAGGATCAGAGATGGAGCTTTATACAGAAGTTGGATCGACTCTTTTCTTCTCATCTCAAATTAACAGACATTGAAACTTCCTTTTGTCAGCTTTAAAGTAACTGAGAAAACCTGCAACCTGCAAGACAGGTTTTCAACCAAAACCTTCTGACATTTTATTACTGTGAGACTTTGTGGCATGAGATCTCATTACACCTCAGGTGTTCACCGTCTCTTCATGGGTTCCCTCACGACTGTGTTCCAACTACAGGTCTTGTTGTGACATCTCACCTGGACAAAGATGTAAAAGCTGAGGTTGTGAATGTTGTAGATGTAGCCCAGTCCAAACAGACAAGTGAAAAGGCCACTGGTCAGCATTCCCACAGTGAGATACAGTCGAATGGGCAGGCGCTCTCCAATGATGCCACTACACAAGGGTACAGTGGTAAAACAATATTAATGACATCATAAAAGCTAAATCTGCAGCTAACCTAACCTACATTGTGAAGACTGGTCTGTTTCCATCTAGGATGCAACTTAAAACTGCCATAAAAATACAATTTATTTAAATTAAATAGTTATTTTRTGATAAAAACCTTATATTTCTACGGAGGCACTGGTATCCTAAGGAGTGGAGATTCCAACATCACAGGGTAGCATATAATGGTTTAATTTTATTGGCATCTAATATGCAGCACACCACATGTAAGAGCCTATAAAAAAAGTTTAAACTAAAGAAGACACTATTTTACATCTAAGACTATGAAGATTTTTAAAAACAAATCTGGTCTTGAAGTAAAAACTACCTCAGATGAACAAATGCAGACAAAAAGCTAAACTCAGCAGGCCTCCA